CACATCTCCAAAGTAGATAGATATCTATCTACCTATCTCAGTCTCTGTCTCTGTCTCTCTCTCTCTCCGGCATTGGCAAGTTGTGTAAATGAAAGTAAACCTGTGAAGAGGACGCGGCCTGGATGTCCAAGACAGGTCAGTGATAGGAGCCAGGTGCCTCAGGCTGTGGTGTCTCAGGAGATCTCCTCTCCGAGGCAGAGTTTGTTAGGGAACCTGGAGGGACGCTCTCAGACATCAATGGGCTTTCTGCAGATGCTGATGACACAAGTGCACAATATCATCCTGGAAAGGGATGTGCATAAGAACAACAGTGATCTGATGGAGATGAAAAAAGAGAACGGGGGTCTTCAATTAAAGATCAACAGATTCAAACAGCAAGAAGATGAACGGGGGCATCACTGTGGTAGAAATCACACGAGATGAATTGGGATTTCTCGGGGCGGTGAGGGAGCAAATATGACTGGTTTCCTACAACACGAGTCCAGCGAGTTCAGCGAGTCCCTGCACAGGGCCAATGGGCTTTGCCTACTCTATGCAATTGGAATGAGAGGGATGAAAAGAATAAGCTGCTGGTGGTGGAGTCCCCAACTGGGAGAGAGAGACCCAGTGCGCTGAGAGTCCCTGATGGCGTGATCGAGACAAAAGGGCTCAACCAAGACCTGGTTACAATGATAGTGGTTAACCCAACCTTGTTAGATACTGTGGTCCACCCAGGACAGAAGGTGGGCTTGATAAAGGACGCTGAAGTGGTGAGCCCTGAGCAGGAGGGAAACCCCCCTCCAATTGACCCTTCAAGGTTTTTTGGGAACTCCCCGGTCCCCAAAGCCTGTAAAGCTCGGCTCTGGGGCGAACTTGGGGCTTGAGCCCGTGTTTTCTCTCTGCATGACTGGGATGTGGGGGAGGCTAAGGGGGTAGAGCATCACATTAGTCTGAGCAACCCACGATGCTTTCGCGAAAGGTCTTGGCACGCTCTCCTCTGAGATGGGGGAAGTAAGACGTCATCTGCAGGAGCTCACGGACCACCGCATCATCACGGAATCTAAGGGCCCTTATGCCTCTGCCATTGTGATTGTGCGGAAGAAGAACGGCCAACTCCGTATGTGTATTGATTACCGGACTTTGAATGCCCGGACCATCACTGATCAATACACTGTCCCACGGGTGCAGGAGGCTTTGGACTGTTTAGTAGGGAGCAAATGGGTTTTGGTACTAGACCTCCGCAGTGGCTACTACCAGATACCTCTGCAGGAAGAGGACAAAGAGAAGACTGCTGTTATTTGCCCCTTGGGATTCTATCAGTTTGAGCGAATGCCCCAAGGGATATCTGGGGCTCCCGCCACCTTCCAGTGACTAATGGAGAAGGTGTGAAGATGCCTTCCAGGAGGTGATCTGGCAGTTGACTCAGGCGCCTGTGCTGGCATATGCTGACCCCAACTGCCCTTTTATTTTGCACACGTATGCTAGCCTGTCAGGACTGGGGGCCGTACTGTACCAGGAACATGATGGACACCGGCAACCAGAGGCTTTTGCCAGCAGGGGATTGTCACCCAGCAAGAAGCGCTACCTGGTACACAAGCTTGAATTCCTGGCCCTCAAGTGGGCCGTCATTGAGAAATTCCAGGACTATCTGTATGGGATTACCTTCCAGGTGTGGACAGACAATAAAGCGCTACCTGGTACACAAGCTTGAATTCCTGGCCCTCAAGTGGGCCGTCATTGAGAAATTCCAGGACTATCTGTATGGGATTACCTTCCAGGTGTGGACAGACAATAATCCCCGTACCTATGTGCTCACCAGCGCTAAGTTGGATGTGACCGGCCAACGTTGGATCACAGCACTAGCCAACTACACCTTTAGCCTGCACTTTCGAGTGGGATGAAAGAACGTGAATGCTGATGCCCTGTCTCGACAACTCCCCAGCAACCCCGGAAATGTTTGGAGCCCTGAGAAAGTGAAGACCTTTTGTGACCTGCAGCTACAAGACCCTGTGGGGATGAGGGAAAGTCCTGTTTGCATGGCTGAGGTGTTGGGGTTTCCCCCTGAGGGGATCCCACAGGCCTGGATTCAGTATACCACTCTGACTCCCTCTTTGTTGTCCCAGGTCACGGCCACAGACTGGCGGACAGCAAAAGAACAGGACCCAGATGTGCGAGAGGTGCTGCGTGCCCAGAGATCCGGGAATACCCACCCTGTGACCCTTAATAATGCTACGCCAGCAGCCCACCTTCTGTTGAGGGAGTGGGAAAGGCTTCACTTGTTTGATGGGGTGCTACATCAGGAGGTGCAGGACCGAGAAGGACAGAAATATTGGCATCTGGTCCTCCCTCAGAAGTATAAGGCCCTTGCATTACGGGCCTTGCATGATGACTTGGGGCACATGGGGGTGGAGCATACCCTGGCGCTAGCCCGTGAGCAGTTCTTTTGCCCCAGAATGGCTGAAGATGTAACGACTAAATGGTCAAACTGTGATCGTTGTGTGCGGAGGAAGATCCTGCCAGCTCGAACTGCCTATCTACACACCATCCAAAGCTCAAAACCCATGGAGCTGGTGTGCATGGATTTCCTAGCTATTTAAGGGCAGGGGCACCAAAAGGGGAATGTGCTGGTTGTGACAGACCACTTCACCCGATATGCCCAGGCCTTCCCTACATGAGATCAAACAGCAAGAACTGTTGCCA